TGCATGTGTGCCCAAGATCCTGAGAGGAGAATGTATTAAAATATACTCACTGGGGCCAACAAGTGGCCTAGTAGTTGGGATGCTGGACTCCCACATGGCCAACAGCAGTTTGAATCCTGGACTTGCTAGCTTGCTTTCTCTTTTTCTTTTTCTGGTGAGCACCTGTGCCCTACAGCAAATTTAAAAATAAATCTAGTCCCAGACCGTAGATCTAGTCCCAGACCCAGTGGCTTAAACTCACGCCGGGTGCATGTGCATACGTGCCCAAGATATCAAGAGGAGAATGGAGGAAAAGGGGTTGCATTGTGTCCATCCCCGCTGGGGGGTGATTTCTCACTCTCTCTCTCTGTCTCTCTCTGTCTTTCTGGTGGGCACATGCACCCTATAGCAAAAATCTCTCATTAATTAATTAACTAATTAATTAATTAATGTCATGATGAGGTTCATGAACATGTTATAAAAATTTTTTGAAGTTCAACAGTTAATAATGACAAGCAAATGTAGCAACTACCATAGCTGTGCTGTAAATCCTTTACAATAACTTGTTTGAGGGGATCAGCAGTTAGCGTAATGGCTACGTTGCTGGACTCCCATGTAGTCAACTGTGGTTTGAGTCCCAAGAACCCACGCTAGGCATGTGTGCATGCATGTGTGCCCAAGATCCTGAGAGGAGAATGTATTAAAATATACTCACTGGGGCCAACAAGTGGCCTAGTAGTTGGGATGCTGGACTCCCACATGGCCAACAGCAGTTTGAATCCTGGACTTGCTAGCTTGCTTTCTCTTTTTCTTTTTCTGGTGAGCACCTGTGCCCTACAGCAAATTTAAAAATAATAATAAATAAAATTAAATAATTCTTTAAAAAATGTGTCATTACTTTTCCAACAACCCAACAGTTACAGAAGAAACTCACCCAGAAAGGGAGAATTTAATTCTGAGGATGCACTTGACTTTTTCAGGAAGTAGCAGAGTGCACGATGACCTTAGTTTTTGCAGAAAGAAGAGGCAACCAGACTATAATATAGACATCACAATTTTATGCCTTTGTGAAAAGCATCCCATATAATTTATGAAAAATATAGTTAATTAGGAATCATTTTTCTCATAAATATTAATGTAAATAATTCTGCATATCTAATAATTATTTTATTAAAATCGCCCTTTGAGTAGTGTTATTATTGCTCTGGCTCAGGAGTTTATTAGTTTCCATTTTTAATGTTTACTACATATGTCGGACTATGCTAAGTATGCTGTCTATATTATTCTAGAAGATAGATCTTTTCATCACTATTTTTCTAAGTTAAGTGAAGTGTGAGAGACAATGTAAATGCTCACCATTAAGCAATAGAGCTAAAATTCACCCTCAGGTCTGACTCCAACATCTATATCACAATACAAACCTACCTCAATATTATGCACTCATTAAAAAATTGAATAATTGGGGCCAACAGGTGCTGGGATGGTTAAGGTGCTCGATCCCCACATGGCCAACTACAGTTCAAGTCGCGAACTGAGTGACTTGAAAATCATTCCAGGCACACATGCATGTGTGCCCAAAATCCCAGAAGGAGAATGGAGAAGGGATTGCAGCATGGCCACCCCTCTGGGGGTGGCTTCTCACTTTTCCTCTCACTGTCTTTCTCTGGTAAGCTCAGGTGTCCTATGGCAAAAACCTTTAAAAAGTGGGTTAATGTCGGGAACCAGCAGTTAGTGTAATGGCTATGTCGTTGGACTCCCACGTAGTCGACCGCGGTTTGCATCCCGGACCCGGTAGCTTAAAACTCACGCCGGGCGCGTGTGCGTGCGTGCCCAAGATCCCCAGAGGAGAATGGAGGAGAAGGGATTGCGGCTTGACCATCCCCCCTGGGAGGTGATTTCTCACTTTCTGTCTCTATGTCTCTCTCTCTGTCTGTCTGGCGAGCGCACGCGCCCTATAGCGAAAATCTCTCAAAAGAAAAAAAAAAGTGGGTTAATGTCATTATTCCCATAAAATATAAAGAGTATATAAAGTTCGGTAATAAAGTTAACACAATAAAATGTTATTTCTGGCATTAATTTTTAGAAATTGGTAAAACGTCCATTTTCTAGTCAAGAATCTGGAAACTGCTTTTGTTTTCTCATTATGAAAGGACCATTGCTAAAGTGTATTTTGTGAGCTGTAGCAAAGTAGTTCTCAATGTAGGCTTCAAAGCTGAAGCTTCAATTCTGACTCTACTGTTTATTTGCCATATGCCCTTAGATATATTCATTTCTTGCTGGTTGTTAATAAAATGGAATTTATTTGTAACAATGTAGAGATGGGCACTTGATATAACTGACAAATAATGACTCAAAGAAACATTAGCACACAACATTCTAATCCAAGGCTGAAACCTTTCATACTTTTTTTTTAAGATTTTTTTTGGTTTTTGGTTTTTGTCACAGCGCACCTGGGCTCACTGGACAGAGAGACAAAGACAGAAAGCGAGAAATCATCCCCTCACACACTGCAGTCCTTCTCCTCCATTCTACTCTCAGGATTTGGGATACACATACACACACACCTGGTGTGAGTTTTAAGCCAACAGGTCAGGAACCTGAACCACAGTTGACTACATGGGAGTCCAACAATGTAACCATTACACCATCTGCTGGTCCTAAACAAAACCTTTCATACTTTAAAAAAATAAAAATAAATAAAATTTAGAGTAATTTTAGGTTCATAGTAAAATTAAGCAGTATGTACAAAAAAATCCTTATACCTCCTGACCTCAAAATGCACACCAACCCAGTCTTCCTATCACCCTCTCACTGGAGTGGTTCATTTGTAACAATGAACCTACATCAACACACCACTAATATCCAATGCATAGTTTACATTAGTGTTCATATTTGGTTGTACATACAACGGGTTTTGATAAACATGTCATAGCAACATACCTACTACCCAAAAAGTTTCACTGCCCTAAAAATCTTGTGCTTACCAATTACTTTACCTTCCCTCTTTCTCTCCTCCCCAACCCTTGGCAACTACTGATCTGTCTTGTTCATATTGCCCTTGTACACTATCTTTTTCAGATTGGCCTCTTTCACTAAGTAATATGCATTTAGGATTTTTCCATTTTTCTTCACACCTTGACAGCTCACTTCTTTTTAATGTTGAATAAAATTCCATCATATGCATATGCCAGTTTATCCATTCACTTAATGAAGAACATTATGGTTGCTTCCAAGTTTTGGCACTTACAAACAAAGCTGCTGTAAACATCATATTCAGGTTTTTTTGCAGACTTAAGTTTTTAGTTCATGGAGATAACAAGGAATGATTGTTAGCTCATGTGGTAGGAATATTTACTACTGTAAAAAACTGCCCAGATTTATCTGAAGTGGCTATGTAACAATTTGCCCTCCCACATGCAGTGAATCAAGTTCCTCTTGGTCCACAACCTTGCCAGTATTTGGTGGTGTCCCCCTTTTTTGGGCATTTAGCCATTGTAATAGATGTATAGTGGGTTTTTTTGTTTTTTTGGTTTTTTTTGGAGAGACTTTCGCTATAGGGTGCGTGCACTCGCCAGACAGAGAGAGACATAGAGACAGAAAGCGAGAAGTCACCCCCCAGGGGGGATGGTCACACCACAATCCCTTCTCCTTTGTTCTTTTCCTGGGATCTTGGGCATGCACGCACACGCGCCCGGTGTGAGTTTTAAGCCACCGGGTCTGGGACGCGAACCATGGTCGACTACGTGGGAGTCCAGCGACATAGCCATTACACTAACTGCTGGTTCCCTAGTGTTATTTTTTTTTTTTAACTTTATGAGAAATGTACCATTTGTGAGAAAGTTACTTCCAAGTAATAACCTGGAAATGCTGATTACTGTTAGAACTATGTACATTTGGCTAAAAACCTAAACAAAAAATATTTTTTAAACCACCTTAGTGTGTAGTTAGCTTGTTTTCCCCCACGGTTCCTAGATGAACTAGTGTGACTCGCACTTAGTTTTCCAATTATATTTTGTATGCAAGGAGTCCAGAATGGTTCGATATTGCTAAAATATCAGACAAAAACAAAACACTAAATCTTAACCTCATTTGTTAGTTAAAACCCATTTAGTACATACATATTCCTGGTAGCTTTCATTTGACCTTCACTATTGAAGGTGACTACATTATCACGATGTAGTAATTGAGTCTCCATACATTCCTTGGATACAAAAATACTAGCCAAGTCTAATTTTTATAACATCTCATTAGAGAAAAAAAAGGAGTATATAATACATGCAGCTTTATACACAAGTAATGTGAGGTTGGATCAAAACGTAATAGAGTTAGGACGACTCAATCGGACTCCATTCTGTCTCGGAACTCTTTAAAAACAAAGCCAAATAAAACTACCCGGATCTCACGAAGATTCTGAGAGACTTGTCTGGGGTCGAGGCCCAAGTATGAGTCTTCCAAGTTATCCAGGTCATCGCAAAACGGCCAACGAGGGAGACCACTGTACAACCGAGTAGCAACTTCCTAGTACTGCAGCGAGCGCACACTTCATCAAGAACTGCATCACACAGCAAAGAACATAACACTGCCTTTTAAGCGCCTAAAGCACGACAGTCCCAGGCACACATTCCCTGTTTTCTCTGCACTCGGATACCGCGTTCGAACCGTTCCACTCCAAAGCATCCATCCGCTCAGAGCCTCCGGGAACTAGGAAACTCCGCCCGCAAGGCCTAACTGTCCCCAAAGTCGGGCGCGAGGGGCGGGGGACGGGGACAGTTACAGCAAAGGGTAGGGCCTCCTTAATAACACTGGCGGTCGGATAATCGGTGCGGAGATTCCCTTGTAGGAAGACAGAACCGGAACCGACAACCTCTGCCTAAGAAGCTTGGATAACCCAGACCTTTTTTCGCGCTCAGACTTAGCCGGAAGTGACGCCACAGTCGGCGGGTGGGGCCGCCCCGCGGGAGAGGGAGGCGGGAGGGGCAGCGTGAGGAGGGTTGGGGGGCGGGGCGCGGCCGCACCTCCGTTTCCGGTGGCTCGTCGCGCTCGCTCACTCCAGCTGCAGCGGCTCTCGCCCGTGGCTGCTTCCTCCATCCTGGTATTTTTTGGAGCCTCCATCCTGGTTCTTCCAAAGTGCCCGGACCCAAAACAGGAAGTAAGTGCGATGGAACCTTCAGGTCCCACCTGCCGCCAGCGCCGCTCCGCCGGGCACCGCGGGCGGGGTCGGAGCCGGGCCTTCGTGACGCTGAAGCTGCTTTCCCCACACGCTCAGGCCAGGGCCTCCCTCTCAGGGCCGGGCCAGCGGCGGGGGCGCCGGCTGCAGAGCAGAAGATAGAGTAGTCGCCGAGGCACAGCAGCGATCCGGCGGGGGCGGAAAATGGCGGCGGCTTCAGAGGAGCTAAATGGCGCCGGGACCCCTGGGGGGTGGGGTGGGCCGGGTGCTTTGGTAGAGAATTGGACCGGGGACTAAAGGGGACTGTAAAGGCGCTTTTTTGGTTTTCCTTGCGGTGTTCCTCTTTTTAATTTTTTGGTTATCTTTTCCGGTTTTGTTGCGAAGACCAGCAAAGGAGAGGTGGGCTCGGGTGGGGTGGGTTGGGGGGGCGCAGGCCTCGCCCCGGCTCCCACAGCTGATGTGGTGTTTTCTTTTTACCTTGTTTACATCTTAGACTTTTCTTCCATTTGTTTGAGGTTCGACCTCGCTTAGCAATTCAAAATCCTGGTAGAGAAAATCGGGGTTGCTGACCGAACCGTCTGTCAGCCCGAGTCTTTTTACAGGGCTCGGGTGGGGTGGGTTGGGGGGGCGCAGGCCTCGCCCCGGCTCCCACAGCTGATGTGGTGTTTTCTTTTTACCTTGTTTACATCTTAGACTTTTCTTCCATTTGTTTGAGGTTCGACCTCGCTTAGCAATTCAAAATCCTGGTAGAGAAAATCGGGGTTGCTGACCGAACCGTCTGTCAGCCCGAGTCTTTTTACAGAAGGAAAGACAGGGCCGGCCAGGGAGGCGGGGAGAGAATCGGAGCTGAGCAGAGCAATGCGTCTGCAAAGAGTAGTATTTTCATAATATGTCTAGTTCCGAGGAAGCTAAAAAATTTTTAAATCTACTTTGTCCTTCGAAAGCAGAGCAATGCGTCTGCAAAGTAGTATTTTCATAATATGTCTAGTTCCGAGGAAGCTAAAAAATTTTTAAATCTACTTTGTCCTTCGAAATGGACTATGTTTTGATAATCTCTTCCAAGATTTCGGCAGCTTTACCCCCTTCTTTGGATTTTATTTGAACGAAAGTTGCAAATGCCATTCAGTGCAGTCGAATGATAACAGCACGTTATTTTCGATGTATTATAGATAAGGAAAAGGCGATAATTCTATGAAATGTAAGTCAGGACTCCTCCCTTTCTCTGAATTTGTGTTTGCCTTTCTTGCCACTTAATTCATTTTTGTGGATCTCCCTTCTGACCAGTAGGCGAGGCTACTGGCTGGGACATCTAACAAAGTGCATTTTCTGTAGGATTAGTCGCTAGTACTTTGTGTCTTGAAGTTTTTTCATTTGAATTTTTTTTTATTAATTATAGTTTTCATTGTAAAAGACAATCACTTGTGGCTTTTAAGCTTTAGTCCAACCAAGTAAGAAAATACTCTTCCACTACACCGAAAGTTATGCAAACATAAAATCCGGTTTTTTAAGACTTTATTTTTCCATCACTTCAAATTTTTTTCTTTAATTTTACATTTGTGTTTCAGATAACTTTTTAAGGATTACTATATTTTAATTCTAGTAATTTGAGTAATTTTCCTTCGTTTAAAGACTCCATCCAGCTGTGGTGATGATACATCAGAATCTTAGTATTTTATTATGATGGATTATTTGCAAATTTGGTTAAGATTTAGATAAAGATTAAAATGACATTCTCTGACATTACAAAAATTGTCATGCTGAAGAAATACAGTTTGGTGTAAGAATAAAGTTTTCTTCATTCACAAAGCAAAAAAACTCAATTATGAAGAAAAATACGTTTATAATTGTTGGTGATTTTATCTCATTATTTCAACTCCCGTATGCTAGGTGCTATTGTGTGCCACCAAGCAAGTTTATTGTTGTTATTATTGTTTACTGTTTTAGTTGATAAGCTCACCTCAAAATGTGTATTTGGGGACTGATCTAGAACCCACATTTTCTGCATGAATCTTTTTAATTGAATGCAATTGAGCTAGATGGTGGACCTCAATGCTATTGCCCTATCTTCATTGACTTTAAAAGTAAGTGTTGGGCATTGCATACTTCGAGCAGTTATATGAATAAATATATACTATATAGTTTTCTCTGGGTATTAAGGTTTTAGAAGTATTTGGAGAGAAGAAATCACAAAGTTTAGGAATTAAGGTTTAAGCTTTGAAAGGGCCTACCTGGGAAATGGTTTCTGGTACAGAATAATACCAAAGTCCAGAGATGCCTTCTTTAGTCTTTAAGTACTCTTTCCAAATGACTTCTTTTTTTAAAGGTGCAGAGAGGGTAGGTACTTATAAAAAATTATATATTGCTAGTTAGTATTTAAATTACAAAATAAAAAACTAGCCTTTACTTCTTCACATAATGCTTGCCATTTTATTCATTTATCGCTTCCACATCTCTAGAACCCAATTTTTTTTATTAATGGTGTAATAAGCTTATATATCCTAAAAATTAAAAAAATTTAGATTTTTGCTATAGGGCATGCGCTTAGTATTTTATTATTTCTGAGTAAGAGAAAGAGGCAGAAAGCAAGAAATCATCCCCTGGGGAGATGACCACACGCAACCCCTTCTCCTTCCTCTTCTTGGGATCTTTAGCACACACACAACTTGCCTGGTGTGAGTTCTAAGCCACTGGGTCTGGGACTGGAACTGCTGTTGGCTACATGGGAGTCCAGCAACATAACCATTACTCCCTCTGCCGGTCTCAACATCTCATTATTTTTTAGCAGGTGATTTTGGCATGCTGCATCAAGTACATTGGTTGAAATTAATAACTGTGAGGGTGTATAAGAGAGTGTGAAACAAGTGTCCCCAAGGACTTAACAGCCTGGCACACAGTTAAAACTATTGAGGTATCTTAGAAGAGTTTTTTAAAATATTGAAGTCCTAGATTATTGGTAGCAAACACCATATCTTTCTGTTGGAAAACCTGTAAAATAGCAGTTTAGGGAGGGTTCATTACTCTTTAAAGTATCACACATAGAAACTACCTGTTTAACACTGACTTGTTATCCTGCCTTCTCAAGATAGAATTTTCTTTTTTGACATCATTTCTAGCACTTTTTTTTTTCCCTGTAAAAGGATTTCCTAGGAGTTAATACACTGAAGTGCTTTGCAATTTCAGCTCTAAAAGCTATTTCTATCTACATAAGATGAGCCAAAGAAGTGATAAAGCTATTGTCAACTGTTGATTATAAAATACAGTTATCAAATATATATGGCATTTGTTTGCTTTCATGTCATTTCTCCCTTTGTCTTGATGGTATTTTGTTTTTGTGAAGAGGCTGCTAAGAAATCACAAGTAGATTTTGTGTTTACTTTCTATAGAGGTAAATGATAAGTTTAAAAAGAACCTATTTATCACACTTTTTTTTTTTTTTTTTTTGAGTTTGTGGCAAAATAAGGAGTTCCATGATTTGAATCACAGAAAAAAGTTGTCAGGAAAAGGCACACTGGAAAGTTTTTTATGAATGATCTATTTGTGGAGCATTTTTTAAATTTTTTGTTTTGTTTTTGCCATCTCATTTTTCTAAGTGTCATTTTGGTTATATACACTGTTCTTAGGCCATTCTTCCAGACTAGTCACTTAACCATCAAGGGTTAAGTGTTAGAAGAAATGCTCATTAGGTTTATTTACTGCCTATGTGTATTTTAGTAGCTCCTGAGGAAGTTGCTTTAAAAATTAACTTCAGTGTGGATGACAGAAATATGGTGTTAATTTCTATTTCCCTTTAAAAAGCTGCTTATGATACTTTGCATAAAAGTGCTCAGTTTTGAGTGAGTGAAATCTTAACATTGTCTCCAAATATCCATTTAAACTCTTGAATTCTCTGGGTGAAAAGTAAGCATTTTAATAGCAATATTTTATTGCTAAACTAGTTACAAAGTACTGCCCTTCAAAGTGACCATTACCAAGTAATTTTCTTTACTCAGATAATTTGGTAATTGAAATTAGCATTTTAAGCTATTAAAGCCTATTAAAATAAGACTCCATTAACAGCTTTATTGACATGGTGCATAGTCTTATTTTACCACCTTAAAACCATATCATAATGAGTATTAGTTTGGTACCTTAATTCATTGTGCTTTATGTTCATTTGTAATTCTTCTAAAAACTTTTATACAAAGTACACAGAGAAGCAAATCTCCAGGGGGCTGGAACCATCATCAAAGCATTGTCTTGGTGTGAAATGTCTCCATTCCACCTTTAATAAAATCCATTCTTTTGAAGATAGTCTTGTGGTATTGTCTCTTTTCTGACATTCCTCTATATACCCATTTTCAGGATTCAGGGATTTGTTACCTATTTTCTTCCATTAAGATTTTTTATGTAGCAAAAATGTTAGCTTTGAAAATAAAAATACCTTAAAACACAGCTTTCAAAATATTATACATTACTTAGCAAATCACCTGAGTATTTCCTAAGACATTAGTTAATATACAGTGATAGTTATTGGTATAGTCATGATCAGTATAGAGCTTGTATTATAGCATAAGCTCAAAAACAAAAAATGTTTAGAAATAATGGTTAGATAAATTTAGACACTGTGTAGCCATTTAAAGTGTGGAATAAATAGTTGGAAAATGCTCTGGTGTGATAAATGCAAAATCATAAAAGATGTAACAATGATCTCGATATTGTAAAAATAGTGAAAGTTGTGTATGTTTATATGTATGATGGAGAAAATAGTCAGAAGGTCATCTAACACCAAAAAAAGGAAACAGGGTTTTGTTTTGGTTTGGTTTTTTAAAGACTGTCTCAGTGTTCAGACCACCCTTGAGCTGTTAGTCCTGCGTTGGCGATCATACTTTGGCCTCCTCAAGTCACTGGAATTATATGCACACGCCACTTGTTCCCAGCCTGTAGGTAGTACTGGGAATCCAGCCTAAGCCTTCTACGTGCCTTGTCCGTAGTGCGTAGTGCCT